CCTATCCTGGATTTCATATGCAGAAAAACATTAAAAATGAAAAAAAAAAACAAACCCCACTAGCAACAATAATAAAGTAAAACAGATAAAAATCTTAATAGAAAAGAAAGCAGTAAATATTAAAAATTTGAGCAAACTTAACTGGATTTTAAGGGAGATGAAATGATAGGGTGCTAAATTTTAACCTAACTGCACCAGCAACAATTCACTTTTTAATGCATTGTGTGTGACACCAAGGCTATGTGCAGCCCTGGCCCATGCTCATAGGGGACTCACCAAGGGCTCAATCTGTGTATTTCCCCCTCACTTTTTTTTTTTTTAACAAAATAGCTTAAAAATGGTTCAAAGGGAAGGTCAAATGATACAATATTACATTTTAACTTAACTGTGTCTGCTGTCATAATTGACTTTACAGTGTTCTCTGTCTGCTAACAGGGCTATTCATGTCCCTCAAACATGATAGAGGGGATTCACTGGAGGCTTTATCTGTGGCTTTGGGCTTCCATTGTCATCCATAACCTGCAAACCAGGTGATCACAACTTTAGGTCTGATACCCTTTCCTCCTTTAGATTGGAGTGTATTATTTACAGTCCTTGGATCACACAGGCTGATGTGTTTCTGTCATGTGGACTTAGTTGACACCTTACTTGGTGATAGCTGCTTGTTTGAAAACAGTTCTTTAAGACCCCATATGCTGTTCTTTCTGATAGCCATACACCATCTAGTTTCTTCACCACACTTTGCTATAACGCCCATATCTTCAGTAATGACTAAGAAGTTTGAAATGAGCAAGAAAAGATGATTGTTTTACAAGATAATTGAAGAAATGAAAGAGGGGCTATGCAGACCAAAGATAAAAATAGGTATTCTCATTCCAGATGCTTGAAGATAAAAAAATTAAAGGCCATCAAACTACACTGAATAAAATTTGGCATGACAACAGTAGCAAAAGTATCCTAAAATGTGTTGCTCACTGACCTTTTTCTTAAAGAGCATGTTACCTTTAGCCTAGATAGTCTCTCTCCCCTTAAGATACAGTATTGTCAGGATGGTCAATTGTTTTATACTTCTAGGATAAACTAACATGCCAGAAGGCCAGGCGTTCTACCTTATATCAAGTGTGCATTATTTATAGTAATGTAAACAAAGAACTCTGAAAGGTGCGGGGTGTGGTAAGATGCTGTAGCTACAGATGAAATGCATACTGCAAGCTTTCATGTACTTGGGGGGCACGTGGAGCAAGTGGCCACAAGCAGTTCTGTGGGTGTAGAGTGTAATATGAAAGCCCATTGTATAGGTCCTAAGCACATGGTTGATTATATAATACATGGCCTGCCTTGTTCTGAAAAGAATTTAACACCCCCGAAGTTTTCCAATTCCAGGGCTTCACAGAGCCTCCTAGGATACTGCTCCAGGATTGTCACACAGAATGCATCACCACTGGTTCTTGCCCCTTCCCTGGGATCACGCGCCCCTTGCTGAGGGAGCCAAGTGGCGATAGTGGAGCATTGCTTCCTTAGAGAATAAGATCGTGGGCAGTTTTCATTCCCATTTGGTAAGAGAAATCCCCTCTGCCAGTGGCCCTTGTCGTCCCTCCCAGACCTACGGTAGGTAGCTCTGAAGGCTAGCCAGACACCTTAGGTCGCTTAGCTCAAGTGAGACCTTGTTAAGTGGGAATGTGGACTCTGGAGCCAGACTTCTTAAGTTCTTGTCTTAGCATCTTCTGGTTGTGTGACGGTCACACGTTACGGAACTGTTCTGTGCTACCATTTCTCCTTGTGGATAAAAATATAAATCATAGTAACTATCGCACAGGGATGTGGGTGTGAATGAGTGTGTGGGTTGTTCACTTAGAAAAATGCCTGGACACAGGAAGGGTTCAGAACAACAAGGTCAGCAGTTAAAACACACCAGCCACTTCTAGGGAGAAAGCTGAGACTGTCTGGCCCCAGATTTACAGCCTCAGAACCCCCGAAAAGGGTCACCATGAGTCAGACTCAGCTGGATGGTAGTGAGTTTGGTTTTGGATACCTCATCACAAGTGCTTGAGTGCTCACTGGTTGCTCTGGAGGATTTCCAAGTTATAATGACCTTATATGTGTCAAAGGAGGACTGTCTTCCATAGGGACTTTACCGGAAAATTTTTTGGAAGTAGGTTACCAGACCTTTCTTGCAAGGTGCCTCTGAATGGACTTGAACCACCAACCTTTGGGTTAGCAGCCAAATGAGCTAGCTGTATGCACCACTCAGCGATGCCTACTAAATACTCCTCCCAGGCTGTGCACTTAGATCACACCAGCAACAAGAGTTGCTCGCTGCACTTTTCATGGAGAACATGTTTCCTTGTGCCCAGGTCCCATGACTATGAATGTTGTTAACGTAGATGTGCCCTATTGAACTTTATTCTGTAGTTGAAGTCCAGCGATTTTGCCATCCTGAAGCAGTTGCTGCCTCTGCTAGAGAAGGTCTCCACCACCTACCCTGACCCTGTCATCCAAGAGCTTGCTGATGACCTGCGCATCACCATTGCTACCCATGGAGCCTTTTCCACGGAGGCTGTCAATGTGGCTGCCCAGAGTACCCTGAACAAAAAAGATCCAGAAGGGAAAATAGAAACCAACCAGGAGAGGTCCACTGATGTTGCGAGGAGCCACTTGGAGCAACAGCAAAGCAGTGCGAACTCTAGCCACCAAGCAGGCCGAAAACCTGCTCATGCCCCACTCATTCCTCAGGAAGCCAGCAAAGCAAGCACCACTGTGGGCCAGAGATCTCAATGTATCCCCTCAGAGGAGCTCCAGGAGGTTCTTTTATCAGCTTACGATCCTCAGATTCCAACCCGCGCTGCTGCTCTGAGAACGCTTTCTCACTGGATAGAGCAGAGAGAAGGAAACATCCTTGAGATAAAAGAGAAGCTTCTCAAGGTAAGTAGGATGCCCTGTAAAAACCTCATGTGCTCAGGGTGGGGCAGCTTTCAAGGTGTATCCATTGAAGTATTTATAGAGGGCCCTGACTGTGTCAACCAAAGTCCCAGACTGCCTTCAAGTCATGTGTAATTTTTCTGAAGAGGCAAGAGTTTGACCCAGGAAAGAAAGCCACATGAAATTACTCCATTAAGCATGAGTGCCAGAATTTCTTTCTTTTTTAAAAAAATCATTTTATTGGGGGCTCATACAAATCTTATCACAATCCATTCGTACATCCTTTGTGTCGAGTGCCAGAATTTCTATGGAAAATAAATGCTACGGATAGGCAAAGGAGAGCCTGAGATCTTGGCATGACCTTGACAGACTGGTCAAGTGTGAACAGAGGAGAGAAAGGGAATGAGACAGTCTAGGCATCTGAGAAAGCATGAGGGGAGTCAGAAAGCACTGCTCCAGAACCACAGAAACCTTTCAGAAACAAAATATAAAAGTGGGAAGTTATTGTTTCTCCACACATCTGCCATGTAGGTCTGTACATACCCTTCTACAGGAGGTGCTTCTGTCTCTCTAGCCCTGCGATTGTGTCTTTTTCACTGGTTCTGGTTATTATATCACTTCAGAACAAGCAGTTGGAAGCATCTTTGAAAGATCCAAACCATGTTCCTTTTCATTGTTCTTTGGGTTTGGGGAACAAAATGATGCCCGAAGATCAAGGCTGTAGGATGGATGGGGTGAGATTCCTAAGGAAATTCTCATAGACCTGCCCCTACTCCCCTTGTTATAATTGAAAAGAATACCTTGCCACAACTCTCCTGGCTTCTTTGTCATCGTCGCAGTTTTCCATGATCTTAATGAGCCCCTTTGATTTTTCTATGTACTTCGAGACAAATCTGTCAAGATTACCCCTTTGGAATTCCAGAAACGAGCTGCCATATCCTCTGAACTGACCTCTCTGCCTTGAATCTTACTGACCCTGCAGATCCCTTCGGAAACCACGGTTATGATTGGATCTTTTTTTTCAGAAGGCACACTAATGAAACTAAGGCACGCTTATGACTAAGAAATTTGTCTGCAGCCACCCGTTGGTCACAGAGACATGTTTAGACACATTTTGCTTGACACAGCCCATGCATGTATGGGCTGGAACACTAACAGCAATATTTGTTGACTTACCCTGGACACTTTTGTGGTAAATAGGTCCCCTGTTGACTTATTTTTCTCAGGACCTCTTCTCCAAGAGGTATTGGGCAGAATGGGGCTTGTTGTCTCTCCTTCCCCCAATACCAGTGAAAAAACTATCCTTTAAATTGTGTGATTATGTGGAGCAATATATATGTGTACGTAGGGATCTTTTTCCTTTTATGGGAATTGTCCTGATCACGTGTGTTTGAGATTAAGAGGTCTCGTGATGACTACCTGGGATCAAACTCCAGATCAATTTCTTGTACAAGTCACTTATACTTTCTGGGCCTCAATTTCTACATCTGTAGAGTCAAGCTAATAATAGGGGCCTGCTTTATGTTGAAAGATTTAAAATGAAGTAGTCCATCTAAAAACACTAATTATAGGCCCATAATGAGCACCTTAGGAATGTTTGCTGTCTTCATTATTAGTTCTTTCTTATGCTTTGGCTGTTAGACTAAGAAGTATAATTCTGATTGAAAAAAAATAGGAGCTTAAGTATTAGAATCAATTTCTGCTGTTACAGAGCCAGACCTTATTATACCCTATGGATGTTTTCTCTAATCTCCCAACAATGGCAAAATGGATAGTATTTCATTTTATAGATGGGAAGACTGAGGTATGAAATATGCCAAGAATTGCTGTCATTGAATTTTGTATTTCCTTGGCGTGATCATGAAAAATATTCCCTCATACATCTGTCTAGATGATCAGTGCTATGAATCATGTTTGAAGCTCCCCAAAGCTTCATCCCGAGTCCCACTCCTCCAACTTGGCCATCCTCCTATCTCTCCTTCACATACTTAAGATGAGGCGACTCGCAGCAACACTTCATAGCAGGAATCATGGAGGCAGCAAAGGACATGGTATTACATATGGAGCAGACATCCCTGTCTTCCCCTGGACACTAAACAAAAAGCAGGAACATGGGCACTGTCTTTCTCTGGCCCTCATGTTAGAACCTAACCCTGACTTGTAACTAAGACTGCTGGATAAACAGTACCCGCTCAAGGTGACACACCTTGCCGGGTCCTGGAACTATGAGATGCTTTGACAGTAATTTGTTACTCGTGTTAACTGGAGTGCTGAAATTTATAAAAGATTCGAACAGAAAAGAAAGAGAACCGATCTGAGGTTATCACAATAGTAAAATCTCTGCCTCTCATTTGCATTTCTGTATGCTTTCTTGAATAGAAGAATAAAGAATCAAATTATAGCACATATAATATCCGTTGTACATGACCCCACACCTTGCCTTCTGTGTGCCACAGCCTACAGTCTGTCTTGTCAGGTATAGGATGTTACCTCCCATGGGCTGCAATGGAAACATGTTCCTGATTGTTCTCCCAGATACTTTCCATATCTGCTGTTGGGGTACCCTTGATTACTTTAAGAAATATCGCTTCCTAAGCCCTACCCTATGTTGTCTATTTTTTTTTTAAATGAGGCTTTTTCAAGGAAGTTCCATTATTTTTTCACTCCATTTTTCAACAAACTTTTTGAAGCCCCCTTGTATATATGGTTTTCTCCAGAAGCATCGAAGTTTGACAAATATCTAGCCAAGATAAAGAGGAAAAATATTCACTCTTTTGAAGCTGACAGAAAGGATTTCTTAAATCTTACTTTCCCTTTGTGAATCATATCACTGTTGTATTTTGTGATTCCAGATATTCTTGGAGAACTTGGAGCATGAAGATACCTTTGTATATCTGTCTGCTATTCAAGGTGAGTTAGTTCTGGTTAGGGTCTATGGACTAAAACTTTATATAATTTATGTGTAAAAATAGTCTTACGTCTAGCATGATTTCTGGCCTATCCTCCTGACTCCTAACTGGGACTTGCTTTGATTCATAATATAATAATAATAATCTTAAAAGGTAAGGATCTCTATAGTTTGAGTGTCTCATAATGATGAAGAAGTCATTGCTTATGCTTATTTAGTATTCCATGAATTAAATCCCGTTTTCTCTAATACAAGGAGATAAAGAATAACTTATCTAGAAGCTCTCTTTGCACAGATCCTTTGTGGACTTAACTGTTGCTGTTATATACCTTCGCCCACTCTTCAAGCTAAAAGAATCTTATGCACTTAATATTTCTATTAGCAGCCAGATGCTTAGCCATTCCTCCACCAGGGCTCCTTCTTAATATTTCTTTATTAACATTTTTGGCAATAATTTTAATTCCCTTTTGTGATTCTCTAGTGTTTTCCACATCTCTATTAATTCCTGAAATTAGATGTAGACCAGGCTTCATGTAAAGGGGTGTAGAAAGCTAGTCAGCCTTCCCAAGAAAGTGAGAAGTCAACATGATGAGAAGATCAGAATCAACTCTTTTGGCGCCATCCGTGTAGTGAAGGGTGAGAACTTGGGCTCTGGAGTCAGGCTACCTGTGAACACAACCTCACTCCCTCACTTCTCAGGTGAGGTCCCTGAATTCATCTCAGCTTTCATCTCCTTACCTGTTTAAAGGTGGCTAAAGAGGACTGTAAAAAGGTACCGGCACTTTGGAAAATAGCCTGAAAGTTTCTCAAGAAAGATCAATGCAGAGTTACCACTTAGCCCAAAGGCTCCAACACCTCTGGGCAGAGCTAAGAGAAATGGAAATACAGGTTTCCTTGAAAACTTGTATGTGAATAGCCGTTGCCGCATTAGCCAGTGGAGCCAAAAGGTGGAAGTAACACAGATGTCCATCAATCAGCTGGTGAACAGAGAAGCAAATTGTGGTAATCCATATAATGGATTATTATTTGGCTATAAAAGAGAATGAGGTACTGATATATATATGTATATCTATATTACATGTATGTGAATATATATTTATATGCTGCATCATAGATGAACATTGAAAATGTTAATGCTAAGTGGAAGAAACCTGAGAGAAAATACTGTAGAATACAGTCCCATTTGTATGCAACATTCAGAATAGGTAAATCTATCGAGACACTAGTCTAGGACCTCAGGCTTGATGTACACTGGACATTCCAATCGGCAATGGCTAAAGGCAAAGACTACCAGCCATTCAAGGAATGAGTGTGGCCAGCTGCCGCCTTTTTTCATGACAGCCTTGAGGAACACTTTCAACATTTCCCCATGTTAATTAGTGTCCAAGATAAAATGGGATCTTCATTCCTATTGCTCAAGAATCTTTGTGAGGTTTAAATAGCTAAGAACACCAATCATTTATTATTATTCATCTCTCTCTAGACCAGTTGAGGTTCAGCTGATCCAGCTGATTCAGCTGATCAGCTCTGGTCCCTACTGTGAGACTGGGGGTGACCATAGTGGCTCTGATGTACATGTTTCCAATCATTTCTGGCCCAATGGCCCACCAAGGCACGCTTTGCTCACAGTGATGGCAGAAGTATGCGAGAGTAAGAGCTCACTGTGGGACCCCTTCTGTCCTGTCACTAGTGTCTCATTCTGTTGGCTAAACCCAAGCCATGTGGCTGAACCCCAAAAGTCAAGGAGCAAAAAATAAACCCCCCTTTTAGTGGGACAAACTGCCAAGTCCCATAGTGAAGAACATAGATGTGGGGAGGGCTGAAGCATAAACTGGCTTCAATATATGCAGTCTTCCACATCAGATGCATTCTGTTACCCTCCAATGGCATGTGTGTTAGTTTGGGTAGACTAGAGAAACAAATCCATGGACACACATATGTGTATAAGAAAGAGATTTATATACAAGAGCAACTGAACATTGAGAAAACATCCCAGCCCAGTCCAGATCAAGTCCATAAGTCCGATAGTAGCCCATATTTCCGATATCAATATATAAAGCCCTCTTCAGACTCAAAAAACACATGCAATGACCCTGAATACAGAAGATCACAGGCCAGTGGGTAGAAAATCTTTGGATCTAGTGTCATTGGAAACATCTCAGCGCTGGTAGAGGTCTCTCTGTGGCTTCTCCAGTTTCCGAGGTCTGATTGCGTCCATGTGGCTTGTCTTCAGTGTCTCCCAGGGAGTAGCAGAGAGAGACTTCTTCCACCTCCAAGAAGGAAGTACCAGATTTCCCAGAATTCTCAGGAGAAGGCCATGGCCCCAGAAGTCTAATTGGCTAACTCCAGATTGATAGCCCAGATCCCACCCTACACTTTTAATCCTCAAATTGACAGCAGATTAGGTGAATATCACAGCGTGTTTCCCTATGAGCACAGAGGCACGCGCTTGTCCCCATCAGCTGGTTCTTAATATACAGACACAGCAGTCGGGGCAGAAGAGTGTGTAGAGCAGGGGTTCTCAACCTCTGGGTCGCAACCCTTTGGAGGTCGAATGACCCTTTCCCAGGGGTCACCCGATTCATAACAGTAGCAAAATGACAGTTATGAAGTAGCAACAAAAATAATTTTATGGTGCAGGGTCACCACAACATAAGGAACTGCATTAAAGGGTTGTGGCATTAGGAAGGTTGAGAACCGCTGGCGTAGGGGGAAAAGAGATGGGATAGAGGGACATAGAGATGAAAACCTGACCCTGGGGAACCCTTCTTTACACAGAAGGCCCTTTGTTTATACTCCCCAAATCCTGAATGAGATGGCTCACTACAGTGGCTGCAACAATGGGCTCAAACGTAGCAAAACTGCCGAGAACAGAGACTCCAACAAGAGAGGGGTTTTGAGAGGTTTCCGAAAGCACAAGTTTAAAGCCTGGGGGCGTTGTGTCCTGCTCAGGAGCCAGCTGACAACGGAAATCCAATACATCAATGAAATAAGAACTTGACATGCCTATAATAGCATCATTAGGTGTCTGGGAACTAGCCATCCTGTTCTTTGCCCGAGAAAGGCTCATTCTGCCAAGGGGCTGCTTCTCATGGACGTGTTTTAGGACTGGTTTTCTGGAAGTGCTGGCTCGTCATTTACTGTGGCAGCATTGCTGTGTGGAATACACTTCTTAGCTGATTAACTCATCGAGCTCATTAGCCTCTAGGGTCTGCTATAAAAATCACAACTGTGGGTTGTGTTTGCTTTTATTTATTTTAATTGGTGTGCTAATCATTTAGTAGCTAATTTGGTGATAGGCGTGTGGGGTAGACGTGTAATTTCTGTTCTCTGCATCCTAAGATGGACAGGTTTGAATTAATTGATGTTTTCAGTGTTTGTAACATCCACTTAAAGATCAAGGCTGTAGGCGAATTTTCCATTAAGAAAGGAAGGAGCTGAACTTTCCCACCTGACATGGCTTGCGGAGTTCTCCCAGGGCTGTGGCAAGCCAGGAGGCTAGCTCCTGGGGACTCCTACTGAGGCAGAACAGGAGGAGCCTGGTGACTCTCAGTTTGAGCAGCCTGTACTTTTGAGAGGAAGTGAGTGAAAGAGAGTTCAAAGTTTTCCTTTATTTAGGCTGCCTAAATGCTCCACGTGAGAATTAAAATGCACCTTTTGCTTATTAATTTCTTAATATTTGGGATTTCTTTTGTCATTTGCCACCAACTTCAAAGTCTAGGCAGTGAGCAAAGGGCAATGAAATGAAACTCTTTCAACCATTATTTACTAATGCCTGATGGAGGATTTTCTGGTGTATGTGTTCCCTGCCCATCACGTGGAATAACTGCCTGGAAGGCAATACCATGTTGAGAATTAAGTCCTGGATGAGTAATGTTTTAATTTTAAGAGACTATACATCTCTTCCTATTCCTGCTGGAAAGTGAGCGTGGACTTTGTTCTTGTAGCCTTTGTCACCAGGTACACAGCAGCAGCTTCTGTCAGCAGCAAGTTCTGTACAAATTGCTGAACTCTATTTTTATTTTTTTGAACTCTATTTTTAATTGAGTGCTTTTAATTAGAAAACTTTAATCTATACAGATTATTGACCATTAAGTGTCTCTTCTTTTAGGTTCCTTGAATACTCTCGTATCAACATTATTACAACCCATGTATTGTCATCGTTTTACTTTTTTTTTTTAAATGACAAGGAAGTACAGAAGGTAAAAAGTGGAAGTCCTTCCATTTTCCAAAATGTTTTCGAGAGCCCCATCATGTCTATGTTTTGGGCAGATCTTACAGTGAACTTTGAAATAGGAGATTCAATAATGAGTGATGAGTAACTATTGAAAGGACTTCAAAAAGTTCGTGAGAAAATTCTGTTAGCCTTTAATTCCATTTTTCCATAAAAGTTTTGAAGCCCCCTGGTACGTTGTAGTCTTCAAATATGATATGATAGCCAGATTGGCCCTCTGTGGATCAGCTCGTGCACGTTCCTCTCACTTTCCATTGAAACCAACCCTGAGGATAAAGGCATTTCAAGGATCCATGTGGTCCCTTAGCAGGCATCAAGGTGACTCTGACTCATGGCATGTGCAGAGTAGAGGGGAACAGTGTCCCCCAGGATTCTCCAAGTTGTGACCTGGAAGCAGATCACCAGCCTCTTTCCTGGAGCCTCTGGCTAAGCTTGAACTGCCACCCTTTCTTCTCCCAGTCTCTCCACATTGAAGGGAACCTTAGATAAAACGACTACACTCATTTTTAAAATGGAAAACACACACACACACACACACACACACACACACACACAGAAGAACAACGAAAGAAAAGGTACACACACACAAATGAACTCTGAGCAACACCTGGGAGGTGAAGTCGGCCACTGTGGGGGAAGAGAATCTCCACATGCTGACATGCCCCAACAGATCACATCCACTCTTCCACCCTCTTCCTTTCAGAGTTCTCTTTGGCAGCGAAAGCCCCAGAAGGGGAAAGTTAGATACAAGTTGGAATTGTTTTCACA